CAAAAGTCACTAAATACCAAAACAAAAATATATGTAATGGAAAGGTTTAAGTTCATTTACCGCTCTAGGAATCCTCAGTACAGTGTAATTTGATGTCAGACGTCATGCAGTCATACCCATTGACAGAGAAGTCCCCTTATTTTCTGGAAACCTCGTTAACACATTATTTATATCAATCAGCACTAGTCTGTTTACCAGTTTCGTACTTTCAGTTAGGCCTGGTACAACCTGACCTCAGTCAACAAACGCTTTAATCTGACCTGCCTTGCAGTACAGAATAAATTGTTGAACACCGAGGTCATCAAAGAAGTATTGAAGTAGAAGAGAACAATGTTGATTTGCCGAAAGCGACATGCTTTTTGAGTTGTTGCAACTTGCTATTCAACCCAATGCTCAAACAATCTATTCAGGAGTAAACTAATATCTTCTCATTTCAGTTTCACATGATGATTCAACTGGTTACGGATTGAATAAAAGTTTCCGCTCAACGGGTTTTCGTATCTGGTAGCAGCGACTCACCAATGCCTCTAGATAGGATCCTTGGCATATTAACGATAAACGAGGAAAAAGAAAAAACTAGTCGGTAATAGTGAGATGCTGTCCTTGTTCCTTAAGAATATATCAAGTTTTCGCTTAAAAAACTACTGGGAAGCTGCTTGGACTATCTCAGCCTGCAGGGAGTTCCAACATTATTTCTCTCTTTTTGATATATAGCAAATATAATGCTGACATTATTAAAACCGGTGTATTATTGCATGTTTGAAGAAACCCAAAATGGGTTCCTTACAACACTTATGTACCTATGAGAGTAAGATCCATTTTGAATGTTTTATGTGTGAAAATCCCTCTTGTATACACTTGCGGTTTGTTCCTAATGATTCCCTTTGTTGTACATATTTTTAGTCTTTTTGATTCCATTTCAGTTGATAACATTTGTGTTTCATTATAATTTTTATTTTTCTTATGCTTTCGCTAAGTTTCCATGTTTCTTCCTGAACTGCATTTATGTTGTTTTACTTGATGACTTTTAGAACCGTCATTTCACCTAATTACTTTGTTTTGTTTTCAACCGGGTAAGGGCGCGTATCTAATCCACCTAGACAGCTATTCTTTAGTCCAAACCTTAGTTTGGATCTTACAATAAGATATTTGTAAATAATATTAATACGCTGATCCCGTAAAAAGTGCACAACAGTCCCTTATGACGTATTGTGTATCCAGTTTCTGGGTGCTACTCCTAAGGTTTGCGATGGGACTGAACTCAATTAGGTTTTTATCGGGAAGTCCAGGATGCTATAAGTCACTGGAAGGTCACCTTTAAGACGCCTGTACTCGAATAGGTAAAGATTCAGTGATTGTAATCGCTTTTCATAAGATTTCCATTTGAGTCTATAAACTGATTCTGTGGCTCTCCGTTGAATATGTTCGATGTAACCTTATCCTCTTGGAGCAAGGGAGGAAATACTATGTTTCCCTGCCCTAAATGAGGACGAATAAAACTGTTAAAGATTATGTGCAAAGTTTTTCTATCGAGCTGGCCAAAAATGTGCTTCAACATCTCCAGTGCAAGGTTTATTCGAAAAGCATTCTTGTCGCAGTTAGATTAGGACTTCAGATCAGAGCACCAACACCTCTATATCTTTTTCGACTTGGAGTACTTTTCGAAAGAGAACGACCTAAGTTGGACTTGTGGTATGCAAAATGTCTCAAGTGAACTGCCTCACACTTCAAAGTTTTAAGGCTAAGTCCTTTGTCGTCTGCCCAATTTTGAAGTCGAGTTAGATCCTCCTGAAGTGCTAATTTTTCCCCTTGGTTGCAGGCTTCTCTCTAGAGTTCCAAATCGTCGGCGAAAAGTGATGAATTTGTGGAAGATCGTCTATATAAATCAAGAAAACATGAGATTCAAGGACTCAGCCTTGAGAGTACGCTTCTTGATGATTGTTTGTCCCTTGTGGTCTTCGGGAACCGTTTTTTGAACATACTGCCATGTAGCATATACGATAATGTGCAACAAGAAATCCCATTAAACATACACATCATGTTGAGAGTGAACTTTCAAATGCACCCGCTGTGGATCGCCCTGTAATGCTGATACATCCAACCACTTGAAATTCCAGCGCCCATTGTTGGTGGAATCTCTTGATTCGGATTGAAGGCTATGACGGCATGATTACTTTCATCCAGAGGAGCTAAGAGTGGGAAGTTGTCAATTAGGAATTCTTCGTTTATAAAAATTCACTCTAAGCGCGACGGCGTCTAACCGTTTCTCCGATGAGTTGCCGACTTGGCATTTTCGAATAATTACTAGTCTTTAATGAGGTTGACGGACCGATCTTCAGCAGGTTTGTCATCTCCAATGTTTGTGTGGTCAGCGAAGTTGACGTTAGGAAGATTGAAGTTTCCTAGAACCAAGATATGAGTGTTTCCGAGACGAGTAGAGCGAGATAATCCGTCCACCATATGATTGTCAAGCTCGGTGTCAGCAGTGGACTTTCTGTAGATAACTCCAACTAGACACGTCAAGGTTTTAGACTATCTCACTGAGCACCATACAGATTCGTCTAGATTGACAAACTCTTAGGTGTGCACTGGACGTAATACCAAAGAAGATCACAGGTACAGAGCTACTCCACTCCTTTCCCCGTTTTTCTATCGTCGCGAAACAAGGACATGCCGAGCATCGTTAGCTCTTAGCCCGTAATTTGAAAAGATATCCATGTTTCAGATATTCCTATCAGATAAGTATTATTAGCATTACTGAGTTCACTCAGCTCATTCATTATATTCGGTAAACTTATGGCGTTCATACATGAGCAGTTTATACTTTCAATTTAAAACGCGTGAGCTTCCCCATCCTGTTTATCTGTATGAGCCCTACATGAATGGATAAGTAACCTACATATATAGGGCTTTCCAAACTGTTGGACCCTATGTTTTCTACGTTTTTTTCATAGTCTTGACAGTCTACAAGTGAGAGAGTGAGCTCCAACTTGCTTTTGCGCTCAATCATGTCATAATGTGATCTGTTTAAATGAACAAGGATTCCAACCGACAACCGACGTCTGTTGGCATGAAATACTTCAAGAATGATAGCCGCCATAAGGGGGGACTCGAGGGTTATTTTTATTAATCGGGGTCTAGAATCCTCATCCTTCTTGGTTAGTCTCACTACTTGTCTAGTCAATATGTTCTTGAGCCTCAAGGAGTGCTTAATGAATTTCCATTACTGAATATCAGAGTCTGCGTACTCAGGGTTTATGTTTTCTGGTACGCCTTGCACAATGATATTTTTCCGCGAAAGAACGTCTTGCAAGTTTCCTTAGACACGTTCCTGATGAAATTATGCTCAGAATATGATGTATCAGGTGGTAATTTTATAACCTCATCTGATTGCAGCAAGTGAGTAGCCATCAGTACAACACCAACGTTGGCAGTGTTAGTGAACGCTACACGAAGGAGTCATTGAGTGGCTTTGGCGCTTGCAGTCATTACCGCGAGTGAGCCATCTAACGTTCAGTAGCTCTGTTTTACGGAGTTTGAGCTTTCTGTTCAACTAAATGAATAATATATTTGTAGTATTTAATAATATTTGTAGTTCAACACGTTTCAGAACATCCTGTGATTTTTGTCTTGCAGACTGAGAGGAATGTCAAAGCTATCTTTAGGGTTCATGATTATGAATGAGTCATCGCATACTGTAACCGTTTTCTTAATTTTCCGGGTACGTTGAGGTTGATTTTCTCATTGTTCAGGAGTTGAAATGCATCTCAGATTCCTGTGCTCTTTATAGATCGATTGGACCTTAGGTGTACATTGTATTGTCAGATCACCAGCTTATTTCACTATAAGATACAGGCAGTGACACTCGATACTTTTCAACTCTGTTAACGTAGTCTAGTCTACAGAGTTTTTGGGAACCACAGTTGCATTTGGGGAGCCTGCGCTAAGAAACCCAACTTTGCTGGGAGAGACTTTTACAGTCGACGTTATGGTGGTGCTGAGCATCAGCATATCCTCACTAATGTCGATGAAGTTCCATTGATACTAACGTTATCGAAGACACTCTTATTTAATTCACTGTGCGTCTTTGTTTGTTTCAGAACTGTCTTTTCTCAGATTCGCTGACAATCTTTTTCGCAGACTTGTCAAAAGTATGATGATGTTGCTCAGCAAATCCTCAGCATTTATGTTGTATGTGTCACATACGCACCTACGACTTGGCTTACTGAGTCTGTTGTAAGCAGTTAATATAAGATCTATGGGTGCTTCATGAAACAAACTTTTACATTTTTCACACTACTTGCCATAGGTGACAGCGAAAAGCCATCCAGACCATTGTCATGAGTTCTTCATGACAATGGTGAGGAGTTACTTAATAGATCCTACCAATGGTTTACGATCGTAAAACAAAAAACAATATACTGAAGACGAATAAAATGGATAAAAAACAGGTGGTACAAAAGGATAAGATACACTAAAACTAGCTTTGATGAGGAAAAATGGAGGCTGAGACACAACCATAGTCAACTATTACCTAGAGTAAAACTCAAACAGAAAAGTAACTTAACAGACATTAAGCTCAGGACAGATTCTTTGGATCAGAATGGTGCTTTCGTTGAGTAAGAACACAGCAAAATCTTGAGAAATGCAAATCACGCTAGGATTAAACTTCCCATTTGTGAAGCGCACACAGAGTTCAATGAACGACACTATCGAATAACCAAAAAAAATGAAAACGGCGAATGTCAGACCGAACATTCCGACGGCGAATAACATGTTGTTCCTGGACAACATACTTAGTTATCATAGAATATCAATAGGGTACGTTTTGTTTGACTTTGTGATACCGCCTTATGCAATTACGAACTCTGTGCTCAATATCGTAAGTACTTAGTTGTTATATTTGATCACTGTACATTAACTAAAAAATAACCGAGATTTATCAAGAACGCGGCATTACTGGTAGACATTTGTAGATCAAAGTAACCTTAGTATGGCGTCAAGGTTACAGGGCTTGCTGACGACCTTGACAGTGTCTTACATAATTATTAGGAGGTTTATCTGTCGTCAATTTATATTTCTTGGAAACATTGACTACCGTATATGTGTCTTGATATCCCACTTGTCACACTACGGCACCTTGATCACTTTGGTTGCTACTGCTACATAGTTCATTTAAACAAATCGATCCTGCGAAGTGATTTATAATTATTGTATCTGTGTTTTACTAACTATTCACTAACGGCTCAATACTCCTACTGTTTTAAAGTGCTATAAACAAGACGGGCTGATTAGTGTGGGTTGTCGCATTATGGTTATGCTCTTTTCTGTTGTATCAAACTAAGCACTCACCTCTTGTCCGCTGCTGCACTAAGCAGGGTTACGCGTGTATTGTATTGCCGGTATGTTATTGTTTGTTTTGATATGTGCTTCACAGCTGTACATGGTTCGGTTACACATTCTGTGCAATTATGAATGCATATTTTCTTAATAAAAGATACCTGAACATCTTTTGTATCATAGACAGCACATTCTTTATGGTAACTGTCTTTAACATTTTAGTATACCATACTTTAGTTCGTAATTGTGTCGGATATTATACGCCCTAAATCCTTGTTTATGTGTCACGATACTCAATAAATCCGCTACATTCTACATTGCTGTGGTCAGGACGACCGTTAATTTTCTTAACATGTGGTTGGGCGGATTGTTCGAACAAAATGATAACATGGCTTGTTTCTGAGCCTAAATGTTTGGGTTTCGATGTATATTAACCTCCCCGGGACTGTACGTTAAACGTTATCATCCCATCAGTACTTGAAGGTTATCATCTGCAAGGTATTGTTAACTCAGTTTCGCACAAAACGCTACTTCCTCCCACGAAACCATCCAACTTAATTTATTGACTTAGTCCATCAAATATTAAACTGTGGTGTGTATTATCTATCAATTTATGTAGCTCAGATTGCTTCCCTGTATGACACGTGATTTACAAAAGTATTACTCTCGACCAATCACATTCATCCTCTTCGTCTACCAAACAATGATTCAGATGGTCAGATATATCATTTCCCCAGATGCGCAACACTACTCACTCAATTAATTATCTTGGGAAGTAAATTCAGAAGCTGTTTACTAGGTAAAGTATTTGGCTCCAAATATGATTGTGGTCATGGCTCCTAATAGTTAACCGAATATACATAAAAATCCCAGTTAACATTGTTATTGTGTAACGGGCCGCATTTCTAAGGAAAGGAAGAATTTCGAGACCAGTTGTTCTAAGTAACAATTGTTCATGTTGTGTAAACCTCTTGCTGAATTTGGATGGCATCAAGATCGTTGAAGAGTTTTGACTCACAAGATTTTCGAAGTAAGAAAGTATTCATGTTCTGACTGTTCTATCCAAGGTTCACTACATCAGTATTTCACTGCGTTTCAAAATAATGATTCATGAACAAGGACACGCATACAACTGTCTTAACGATTCTGTTTCCAACCAGACCTTGCATACCAGGAAAATATTATTCTAAAGACAAGCTACGTAAACTTATACATACGCTGTGTCATTTGTCAGTAGTTGGAATCTACTCTGTGACTTGTTTCAAACTGAGCAGGCAATGTTCAGTGTTAATCTTTGTATAACACAATTGGTCATATTACAGTAGAGACAAGTGTCTTGATTCTTAGTTGCTGGGAGTAAACATTTTATTACTTAAAAGTCACATCTCTTTCCAAGTATAAATGTTACGCAATGGATGATCTTTCACTTGACTAGTTGGTACTTTGCTTGAACAGTAGTGATACTTCCTGTCTAGCTTAGTCAATTTAGATGAAGTGGTTTTTGGGATATGGGTTCCTTAACCACTAACTGACTGGCCGATTACCGCTAGATAGGATGAATGTTGGTATCAGTCACCACTGATCGTGTCCGAAACAATCACTTCTACGGAAAACCGCAACGTAAATAGGAAGCTAATATACGACAACAATCTTTCTAAAGGTAATTTAAAGTGTGGCTAACGTCTGTGATCTTTCCTTGCAATGGATGTCTGAAAATCCTACCATCAGCTTTGTTTACCGTTTGGAAATGTTCCGAAGTATTGACTTTCCCCCCTAAAATTATAGGATGGTTGTCTAGATGTAATATTATAAATAAAACTATGTATATTGAGTATAAAATCGTGGGGACTTCTCCCAGTGATGATTTATCAGTTAAAGCGATCGGCTCAACCATTTGGTTTCATATTCGAACCACGCTATATCTACTTCGGTTTGAGCAACTAAATAGTATCAGTAACCTTAGTACCAAAAAATGTAACCTGGTCGGTCATGTGAGTCCCTAGTTCACAAGTTAGTTACCACTGGAAGTTACAGTTGCTAATCAGTTTTATATCGAATATGGCTCTGTGACGCGTTCCGGAAATTTCTTTTTACCAGTTTGCTGATCCTACACTACAGCTAATTATGTAAATAAATATGAATAACATTAGTTAGTCGAAATACCTACTAATATGAGTTAATATGATGGAGATAACAGTTTGTAGGTGCCTGTATTCTTCTTGAATATCATATAGTGTACGCCTAATCTTTTCTACGACCATTGCTACTGTTATTACATCTACTATTCTGCCATTTGTGTTGATGGTTTCATCTTGCTGTGTTAGTAGGGTGCATTAACGTGAACCCATGTTCATATGTGCTAGGTTCTACTGGGCTTAGGATTGAAATTGTATGTAAGTGGTAGTATGAGTACAAGACAAAAAGAATATTCCTAATCAAGTTAAACAGTTTTTTTAATCTACAAATCTCGGAAATGTCAAATTAAATTCAATAAATATAATTATAATAATCTTCAGATAAAAAATAAGGTATGTTCTGGTATTTATGCTTTCTTTCTGGATCTTCACTCTGTTTTTTTCCATCTTATTGTAGGTCTTATTTACTTATGCTTAAGTGGATTGTTTGTCATGTCAGATCTGTCCTGTAATGCAGATGTAACAGATTCTTTTAACATTACACAGAACACACCTATTCCTAATTCAAATTGCACTTTGTTGAATGATGTAATCGTTGGAAATTATAATGACTGTGATCCATGTGCTCAAGGTCCGTCAGTTAAAAAACCTAGGTTATTTGAGCAACAAGATACTCTTTGTACATTGAATAATGGTTTCAAGGATGGTTACAATATATGCAACTTAAAAAGCTTGCCAGAACTTCAAGAAGAACTTAAAAAAGTTCGACTCTGTTTCGATTCAAAATTAAAACTTGCTCTAAAAGAAAAATTGTCCAAATATATATCTTTTATTGAGACAACAGAAAAAACAGTAACTAGTTTAAAGGAAGAAATAAGTCAATTAACGGGTCGAATGGATTTCATTGAGTCTTCATCAAAAGACTTGACAAAATTGATTAATGAGCGAGTGAGTAATATTCTCAATTACTTTATGTTATTGTTGAAACATACTGACAGACGGTGCTATAAAATAATTGACGGTCTGATTTTTTTGTCTTTCTCGTGATTCTTCCGGTAGATTCCTTTGCCTGCTCCAACAAATGGTATTGGTCAGTCGAGAACTCTTTCTTCTCAAGCTCCTCGTTTACCTTTACCATCTCATTCTCCTTCGGTATCCGCGCCAGATCGATCTATACAAACAGTGAATCCTTTGAATCGACAGCCGAATCTAACTTCATCGAATTCTGCTTCATCTAGATTATTATCCGTTCTACCGAAAACTTTCGAACTTCAGTGTGTTCCTCCTCAAACTGCATCAGGTACAGTTTTAGCTATCCAGGTCAATGATACTATTGACCTAACATCAGACACTAATATAGAAAATGCTTGGGAAGAACATTTGGTTTCTGGCTCAACAAATACGAAAAAAATGAATAAGCACAGTGCCACACCTCTTACAAGTATGTGCAAGCATATGATTTTATTCATTATGCATTATTTTACTTTCAATTTCATCTTCAACCATAAAGCTTATCTGAAATTTTTCCTATGGATGATGCTTATATCTGTTCTTTTCAACTCTATAGTCGAGCTGAGGAAAATTTCAAAGTAGTCGAAGTTTATTTGTCTGAGTAGTGACTGATAAAATCCATCCAATTATAATTAAAGCCAGATCGGCTTATGGTAATCTGGACCATCTTTGGCTTCGTCGTAATATTAATCTGACTGTAAAAGGTAGGGCATACACTTCATTGGTTAAAACAATTCTACTCTGGGATTGCGAAACCTGACCTCCCCAAGTTGGAAGTGTGTAACGACTTTCTATCCGATCATCATTGTCTCCGAAAGATTGCTGACATCCGGTGGCAGCGCCATGTTTGTAATGCTGAGGTTCATCAGTGTGTGCTTGGGCACAGTAACAACAATTTAATTAGTATTATCATCTTAAAACACTGACTTCGGTGGATCAAACGACTATCATCCCAGCGACGTCCATATTGTGCATTGATTATCAGTGCTGGGGTTGAGTGAAGAGGTGATCATTTTATGGCATAATGCTGTTATACGAAGTAAAACTGTGTAAGACTAGTATCTGTTGTTCCATTAAGGCTTTCTGTCTGATACAAGTCACTGGCTTGACATATTAGACATGGCTCAAAATAGAAGCTAGTGGAGGTTCTGGTGTTATTTTCTTTTATGTTCATGTAAAAGCTAAAGGGACTCTCACTATTCACTATTTTTGTTCGTTTGTTTTCATTCTTTTATTTATTTTTGACTACCCATATTTCTTCTATCCATTCACAATCTCATTCCTTTATTTTCATGGTGCATACTTATTTTGGTACTCTACCCAGTTGTACCATTATTTGTTTATTGAATCAATAAGTGAATCATAGCAATCAGTGTATTGAGAAGATATTTCTTGTTGGGGATCCTGAAAATAAATTGAATTAATGTCGATGATGCTGTCTGACTTGAAACCAAAGCCATTGCTAACTTTCCATTATAGTATCACTCAAGTTTCAACGGTAGATAAAAAAATGAATGCAACTCCCAAGCTATAATCTATTTCACGTCTTGTTACCTAGCGTCTCTAGCTATTGGTTATGAGCATGGCATCACTCTCGATTATGTAGTATGGATCTAACAGTGCAACTCAGACCACTGGTTGACAACTTCATAAACTTTTGCCTTTTCTTGGTTTAGCCACTCGTATATTTTTTCCTAACCTTCTCCTAAATCAGCTTTGTACATCAGAGTAGACGTTAGTCAGGCATACGTAACATATATCCTAACCATTTCAGTTGAAGCTTTATTGTCGGTTAGTCGGCTTGCTCTTTTCACCTAGTACCCTACATCTATGCTTAGCGTCACTCGGTGCACCATCTGCAAACAATGCTTAAAAAACGCCAATGATAATGTAACGTCCGGTCTTTGGTACGTTTGCGTCTAGCCTGAAGGTACCTCATGTAGTGGGGAAGTGTTAGTAGCAGTAAGTGCGATTGTCCGGATGGCCCTCAAATGCCCTGGTACGGCCGGGAGTGGGAAATGGTCAGTTCTCTCTTTCCAAATGCTCTCACACGGTCACGTGCATACAACCACTTCCAGGAAAGTCCTACTCACTACCTTCTCGCTGCGGGGTTGTTGTTTACGAAATTGAGAGGGCGAAAAGCGAATGTCCAGGGCTTTAAACGGGTTGGTGGACACGGAGGATCCACCTATGGGAGTTAGAAAACCCTGATTCCAAACCAATAGTGCATGTTGGCTCCAGGATCCTGAGGGGTCAAATGGTGTGTGTATCTATTGTTCGTCACCAGCTATCACGGGACCGCATCTCCTAACGTTGCTCCACTGCCTTGTGGATGAAACCTTTAGGTAAAAAGTTCGGGGTGTGAATACCCCTTAGAAAACCACCTACCTCGGTTTTGGCACCCGGGCAGTTTCCCAGCCCTCACACAAATCATTCGATTTGTGTGACGCATATCTATTTGGTGCCTTCTTGTACCAATGTTTATATGTTTAAATAAATAAAACAATTCGGAAGAGGAAAAAACTGAGCCGATGACTCAATAATCCACTTACATTTAAAAATCAAAGCAATTGACAACAATCAGAAATAATACAGTGATGAGATTAAGACAATCTAATAATCGAAACAAATCGATAGTGTAGGGTTTCAAACGTACTACAATAAAATACTTGGACCCCACACACGTCTGTTCTCATAACCCATTTTTCTCGTCAATATTTTAATACAGAGCGGACTGCTACTCAAGATACTTCTCTTAGTTGACAGACGGACAGCTTGCCTGTTTTACAAGCGGTGAAGATTAGTAAAATTGGAATGATCAGAGACCAACCTACTAGGGCTAATGAGATTCTCAGGGTTGGCAAGTTATTCAACATGCCTCATTATTTAATCATCTACTTCGCGTTTTTATAAATAATTTTAGGATTACTTTTTTAATTCTACCTTAACGCTGTTTTTGTCTACTCATATTAAGATTTACAGAACGGGATTATTTCCACAATGAATGTTCCACCTTCATTCACATTTGACACTGGTAGTAGTTTGGATAATGTGAATTCAAAGCAATCATATTTGAACTTGGCATCTTTACCTCAAGCTCAGAATATCACTACTAATCAAATAACCAATTCTCTACCATACTCTGTTATTCCCGATGTTCAACTACTTCCTGTTGCTTTGCTACCTCCGGTCCCAACACAACCGGTAACTAATATTAACCATCTTCCATTGCAACCTGTTCCTCAGCTAACTATTGCAGAAGCAGCTGAAGGTTAGTTAGTCTGTACTATGATGAACACACATTATTCAGTAATTTTTTCTCCTGTAATCAGTTCATTTTCTTTGACTTAAAAATTACAATTAATATAAAGTATGTTGATTTTCATATCAACGTGATTGTTTTCTATTTGTCTCAATATTGTTATTCCTTACATAAAACTAATGAAATAAGTTCTGTAAACAGCTCTGATAGAAGTAGGTAATGATGGTGTGGATCTGTTACATAGAGAAAAAACTTTCCAACCTTGAGTATACGGATAATATCTTACTATGCAACGACACACAATTTATCTAGATCGCAATTAGTTTGCCAATTTGTGTCTGTGAGTACAGCATGTATTTTACACTTTCTAAATACACAGTATTTTTGCCCACATTGGTAGGAGCCTTGTGTCTACACTCTTTTTGGTGAACTATTAGATGCAATCAAAAGTTTTGTATAATAGTTGTGTTGGGCGCTAGTGTTTGTGGTAACATGACTGATGAGATGAATAGTAAATATGTTGAAATACTTGTAGTCAGTCAGTAGTAACGTGGAACTTCTTACGTACATACATCAGTTCGAGTTGCCATACCACATTAACACAGATATGCAGTTGTCGATCCAAATCCCGTAGTGATGGAGGTAGTAAGAGTATAAGCAGTAATCGGAAAAATTTGCGTTTGAAGATATTATTCAAGGAGTATAATCCAGTGAAGTAAATTTGCAAAGAGAAAAGAGAAACAAGGAGAATTCAGATTAGAATTGGGGTGAATACAAAGAGTGGATGCACCTGTGTACACCGTTGCAAACGATTTTGAGCCATGTCATTCAAGATCTCTAACCATCGGTTGTTATCATCTCTCAGATCCCAATCAGGTAGTCTACATCTACCAACATCACACGTCGGGGCAACCGGTGGTTGAGTATACGTAATACGTGTCCCAGCCATTCCAACTGGTGAAGTTTCACTACTTCATCAATTGATTTACCATTCTTACCTAATACCCGTTTCCTAACAACTGATGAGTGAAATAGTAAATATATTAAAATACTTGTAGTAGCAATGATAATAATAAAGAAATTAAACATAGGGATATTTAATTTAAAAGAGCATTTAAGTAGATTGATTTGTTCTAACATAAATCTTGTTTCATTTTACTCTTTATTTTTTGTTTCTAGGAGTTTGTTTACAATGGTCTATTACATATCCAATTGGGTCATTTGAACCTGCTATTTCTTATGAAATTTATAGTTATGCTTCATCTGAAGTTAATTTAGTCACTGTTCAAACATCATTACCATGGAAAAAGGTGTGTATAATAATAATAATGATAAAATGAAGGGATCACAGTATATACTCATGTATTATTACCCTCCTATTTGTATATTTTACACAATATTGTATTGTTCTTATCTTTTTATTAACTAACTTTCATAATTTCACCACGGAATATTTATGTATACTTTTCCTTTAAATTCACTCATCATATATTCACTGTAAACTTCCGTACTGTTTGTATATACAGTTTTCTTAATAAGTTATTTGGATAGTTTATTTTCCACTTGTTCTGTAATGTAAATAAATAATCATTCATGATAATTGGACAAAACTTGGACCGATGTATATATGTGCCTGGTTCTACGTTGTAGCTAATTAACTGTAGACAAATCCACAGAAAAAAAGTGAGAGGTGTTCAATGTAGAAATGAAGACAATAACTTTTGAACTACATTGAATGTGAGTATATTAAAAACTGAACCGTCATTTTGTGGATTGTAATGATGATGATGATGATAACTCCCGTCAAGTTCAATTAGTTATAGGATATTTATTAATTATTGACTCAAGAATATTCTTGAGAATATTAGACAGTATTGTAGTTATTCCGATATCAAAGAAGTTAAACAACTCCAGGTAGATAAAAGTAGAAAAATATGGTGGAAATCTATCTTAGATGTTCATTATAATAGTGTATTGAGACAGTGACGGCGAATATATATAACTCAGAATGTGAATTTCGTAATTGTTATGTTCTTTTAACTAGTCGGTTTTGTTGTAAAACTTTCATTATCATTCTAGACAACAACATTAGCACATACTTCAAAAGAAGAAATGAACTATTTCAATTACCCCGCAATTTAAACAATGTTCGATAAAACCGGATCTTTAGTTGTGATTGTTGTCTTTAAAACTAAACATCTTACTTGATTACTTGAGGTCATTAATTGAAAACATATGTATCTGCGTATTTGTTATGATGATTTCATAAATGTATCATATACTTTGCTTTCATTTTGTTTATTGTTTTTTTTTTGCATATCTCTAGGTTGGTGAAGTAGCCGCTTTACCTTTACCTATGGCGTGTACATTAACTCATGTTCAAGCGAATAATATGTATTATTTTATTGTTAGGTCAGTTGATCGATTGCGTCGATATAGTTCATGGTCAAATGTTGTAAATGCTTATGTCAGTTGAAAAGCACCAAGACATTGTCAATAACCCTGGGGATTTGATTAATGTCCCTCCCTTGAAATATTCCTTTACAAATGAAGATATGTGTACTTTTTTTATTGCATTTACCCAGCAAAAATACGTCTGTACAGTTCTCATCTATGTCAGGATGTGTGTATGTATGTATGTATGTAAATTTTCTTTTCTTTGTATTCAGGGACTTTAGCCCTAAATTGATTTTCCCTCAGTTATATACTTTAATATTTTGTAATCTAGATTAAATATGTATCACAATGAAAGAGCATGCATTTTGTTATCAGACATCGGAAATTAGCCTCGAAAATATTATTTCGCGGTTCAATGTTCCGATGTACAACTGAGTTTACTGTTTCTTTGTTTCGGGTTTCAATAGTGGGTTCTTAGCGTTATGATGCACATACTTAACACCTTATCTCCGTTTACTTTGAATCCTTAGGGGATGTGGCTTCCTCTACTGTTTTCGTGTTATTTACATTCTTAAAACTGCACACTGCACTACGATATACACAATGACATACATATTCGAACAGCCAAATTCATATTCACTGAAATTCGATCGCTAGTTTCTGACCCAGATAATATTCTTACATGCAATTAAAGGATTGATTTCCGATGTTGGGTGGTTATTCACGGGATGAGGGCATTGTAAGTTGATACAACTAATTTGTGTGTCATAAGATTTCCACATCATCCATGAATGATATTTAACAAAATGGTAAACTTTTGGCTAAGCACTAAGCCTTCTGTGATAGCTCCTAAGCAGTTCTATCTGAATCTAATGTACTCAACCTTCAGTTTGTCAAGTGGAACTTCTGTGATGCTGTATTCTCACTGAGTAGTGCCTTAAGGTTAGTTAACTGGTTCTTAATAAGACCAAGATGATTATGTCACGTCAGCTGGGTAGTTGTAAGTCTCATAGTAACTAAGCTCCCTAATAATTTACTACCACCAAGTATTCAGCCACCAGCAAGTTATACTTCGCACCTAACGAGATACAGTTTCATTAGTTTATTTAAAACGAGGAAGTACCAATTTGAAGTGATACATATATGTGATTGTCACATTTCTGATCTAACATTTCACGTCATTTACTGCAAAGCAACTTTCATGGCTAATACATACCAATCCCAGAACTTTGTGCAAGGTTCCTGAACACTATCAAGAGCTAAGTACTGTCAGTTTTTAAGTTCTCAGGTCTGCATACGCTAAAAAGGAAATTAACTCTTAAAACAACCATTTCAACAATGAACTATGTAGGTAGGGAGAGACCATGTGGTGTTTTTCTGGTAAAATATGGAGATGGTTGCTTGATAGGCTGTTCGGACAACTTCTGTTATCTGCAAACGTTTTCACTAATAAGTTGTGACCAGAATTCCTAATATTCACCCGATTGTTCTCAGTTTGTTGTAAAGTCCAAGAAGTTTCGACATCGAAATTCTACCCTATTTCAGACCATGGATAATCATGACGGAGCGTATTGTTAGTCATCGTTTCATAAACGGTATCTATCAAATAAATCTGTGGAGCGCACCTTGCATCATGCCATGTAGTTTACAACGAGTAAATTCTACTAAGTAGTGCATACCATCACTCTGTAATTTAGATAATAAGAGTTTCCTCACAAACTACAATTTTTCTTAGTCAAGGCCCTGAGGACAGTTTCAAATGACTTATTCTTTGACTTGTTGTTTTCATTGTACTTATAGTTGGTTACCACTCCTAATTTCTGCCAGCTCTTTTGTATTTTGATGGAACCTCATTGGGTGAATGTGTTAGGATTACTAGGTTCCTCAGTAATTTGAAGTAGTTCTATTCTGTTTGGGAAGAACATATGTAGCGGTAAATAATTCCCCAAAATCAAATAGCTCTGTAAGTTTTCGACATTGGATGCTGACCACAGTTTTAGTGGACTCATCTAGCTGAAGGCGCTCGGTCAAGCATCCACACCAGATCACGTGTGGGAACGCCGTGCTCAACATCTGCCTCAATCGCTAGCCAGATTAGTGCAAACGATCTTCGATATATAGATAGCTCATCAAATATATCTTCGATCTCCTCACTTCTGTCTTTTGATTTTACTTGGTGGGTGCGCTTCGTATTAGAAGGTGTTACTGGTTAAAGCGTTGTCAAACTCCGAATACCTGTGGCACCATCACATATACTACGGGGACTAAGCAGCTCTAGCTAGACCTCTCTCGTCACTGAGACTATATTTTCTGCTAGCTAGGAAAGCACTGTACGTGTTTTGGTTTTGGGTACCTAGTCTATTCTATGTGAAACTGTTTGCACCACTAACCCACCGCCAACCACATAACCATCCTTCGTATTCCTAACGGAAGCCTATCTTCCCACGAAATCATAGCAGTTTGTTGATTATTTAATGCCAGTTCCCACACACACTAACGAAGTCTGGACACAAAGTAGCGATCTGTTTACACATACTCTGAGTGACTACAAAATTTAACGACAACATAACAGTAACTAATCTCATATATGGACCTAATAATTGCACGCTATAGGTACATTAATCTGGACTCCATTGCTGTGATATATTTTTTTCACAAACTGATACAGTAACATTAAAGAGGAAAAATGTATTTGTAAAATCTCAGCGAATGAATTTTAAGTCAATCCAACGTTTCGCCTGACAATTAGTATTAAAAGTAGAGTGGATGTTGATTGGTCCCATACATCTGCCTTTTGACCTTGAACAACTGTGTAAACCAATCACAGACTGTTGAATGCGAATTACAAATAAGGTAAAGATTTACAACGATTGATTTCGCTCAAAGGAATAACACCCGTAGTAACTTTGCTTTGTGTATTTTTGAATGCATTTCTTGAGTTTTAAGTAAGTTTGGACTACTTATTTTCATAGGCAACAGTTGAAAATATTCTTTCCCTTCTTCCAGTTGTTTGGGTGCTCATGCGCCAAGTCGAAAACCATGTGGTCCTATGTACTAACGCAAATACTTACCCCTATCACACTACGAGTTATCCTTTTGTTAGCTTGATTTATGATTGGAATATCATTATCTGGTTTAAGAGATATTCTAGGACAAAGGATTAGTGCAGATACGTGTCATACTTGAAGTCATACATCTAGCATGTAACTAATACACTTGATGTAGTGATGAATTTCAGTATGTAGATAGATAATCTGAGGAGAGACGCACATTAATCATTGCCTGAAACCTATTTTAGCTTTCTATTACTGTGGAACATCCCGAAATTTACATTGAATTTCGTGCCTATTCTAACGAAGTTTGGTGTAGATAACGAAAGAACTGAGGTTTAATGTAAATATAATGTGAATATTTAAGAGGAATATACTGGAACATTGTTGCCTGTAATTCAAACCAAGTTAAGACTAGTAGAAACTTAGGTTACCATATATTTCTCCTTTGTTTCACTGTCACCAAATTGGATTGTTAGATCTTTAAAAGAGCTTAACACTAAATCCTGTTTCAGATGAAGTGATAAGTTAAGTTCCAAGAATTTCAATAGTTTAGCAAACCAACAACTGAATCCCTATAACGTTGCGAAATAACTAGGTGCCTGTTGTTGTTTCAAATACTTATTGGTTTAATTTTTAACGTGACCGGTATTCTTTATGTTTTGGAATTCTATTTAGTAATAGTAACTCACATAAATAATCAAATATGGATTCTCAAAATTATGACTGATCGATCACTGCCATATTACGGAATACTAAACTATTAATTCAGGCAATATGACTGTCTTGCATTAGTTTAAAGACGAGCAATGACCTTGGACATATTGATCCATATGTCATACCTTCTGAGAAAGAGATTTTTATTAACGATCTATATCTTTTAAAATCTATATTATTTGACATTTAAAACTATTTTGATAGGCCAGTATTTTGACCTTGAAATGACAAAGATGTATTCAGCAAGTCTAGTTGAATCATATGGGATTAATGAAACTGTCAATCAAAGTTTTAATGACAATTTGATTTTATGCAACTGATTCCATTACTTAAAATGAAATTAGGAAATTTAGGTGAACTGAATTTTGATTTTGTAAACAATTGACTGATGATTCATTTGGACAAAGGTAAGGTAAAGTAAGAGAAGTTAAGATATTATATTAACTTATTTTGTAACCTGAAATAAATATTTTATAGTTGTTCTGTTTCAGGTTTCTGAACTTGTCTATGAAAGTTTAACAATGGAATATTTTCAGTTTGTATACCAGAATTAATAAAAGATATTCCATAAACTTGATTTTAAATCTATTAGGATATTCTTGAATATTACCTGACTTAATAATGGAAAGGAGTGTAATCAGTTGTAAGAATATCTTCATTGATCTGAATTGTTGAAGTGACAATGAAGAAGATAGTAAAAAGTATTCCTGAATTTCTCAAAAAACTAGATATACAGTTATAAATTTACTTATCTGAACAATGTAGTTTCTGTAGGTCTGAGAATGATTCAGTATTATTATCACTTTTGTAAAATTTGTTATCTTACAGTGTTAGCCTTAAAGATTCAGGTTATAAAATGATAAAGTCGCCTGAACTTTATAGCGTAGAATATGCATCACAATACCTTTGTAAGATCATATTAATAAATTGTGAGTGTGACCGTATGATAGGCACGCTCCAACAGTGACGTTAAACTAACCAAGAAATTTTGAAAGTACTTCTCAATCAATATGGAGAGAGTTTTTACAAACCATTGATAGTTTCTACCAAAAGTAATGAGACCTTTTAGGGTATAATGGTTTTTTAAGACCTATTATTGTGGTAATATCGCTCATAATCTCATTAAGATGAGTGAGAATATATTCGAGCTAAAGGCTATTTACTGAATTTATCTTATAGCTATCGTAAAATTCATCATCACCATCATCATCATCTATAAAATTGTGATGTTTAGAAGTATTTGAATTATTATACGACCTAGGAATCGCCGAAATAGTGAAATTGAAGCCAGAAAGAATTAGGTGAACACAAACGAACGTATTGTATTTGAAATTCAAAATCAGGCACATATCAAGTACAAAAGTATCATTAATTCATACAAACACTATAACTACCATAGCTTAAATTGGAACCTAAGTCTCTGTAATCAATGGAACATGTTCTCCTTAAGTTCATCATGTGTCTATCAGGCTGTGTACCAGATATGAACTCTGTATGATCTAGAATATAATCATTTGTATTAGAATTAAAAACTGAAATTGGAACAGACTCGTCTGATACATGGAATTGTATTTGATTGACATGTCG